TGAGATTAATCAACTGGGCAAGTATGGTGAGACCTGTTAGTTGTTGTTTTTTGGACCGCACAATGAAAGTCAATGGTTTGTCAATGCACCTCATTGACTTTCACTGTATAGACAAAAAAACAAAAAAAATTCAAAGTGGGTCTCATTGATGGGTATCATCTTCAGCTGTAGTGTCCACTCGTCTTCACACAACTGTGAAAGACAGCAGCTGTGTTTTCGAGGATTGAACACTATGAAGAAATTCTCAGAAGCAGGGCTGAAACTTTCATAACATTTACTAATTCTGTTGTTGCACAACTGTTAAAGGCCACCAGTCTTTAAGGAATCACATGTCGGTACCTCAGCAGAAAGGTCAGCGGGCACTCAGAACAGATCAGTTTCCTAAAGGGTGCAATTTGGTCTTCTGTATGTGGTAAAACCGCAGTCTTTGCAACCTCGGTGACGTTATTAATGTCCTTGGTATGCATTAGGACAGTCATTTAACCCTGTGTCTATAAGTTTACAAATAAGTGCATAGCTTTTTTTGACATCATGGTTACTTGACGGGAAAATTAATGGGAGTGTAATACTTCACCCTTGCCCTTTGTACCAATGCCCCCCAAGAATGCCCACAGGAATCTTGATTGCGCCTTTAGTTGGGAAATGATTATGCCGAGTAATGTCACTTATTTGCTTTCTCTTCAAAAGCCACATACCATTTAAAGGCACTTACCTAATATGTCGGTGCTAATTTTGTAAGCATGATCATAAATGTGTGGTTATTTCAAGTTTACTAAAACAAAAACTATTTAAAAAGTTTTAGGTAATTGGAATAAAGCTGAAATAAAATAAAATATAAATATTAGATTATTAGAAAAAAATAATTTAAAAAAATCCAATGATATGAGAAATGTTGCCTTGGCAACTAACTGAACTAAATAAGTAGAAATACAAAATTTAATAAAACTTAAAAATAAGCTATGTAGAAATATTTGTAAATAATAAAAATAATAACAGTACATAACAAAATTACTAACACTAAAATTAAAGTGAAAACCGAATATTAAAATATATAATTTTAATAACAAAATACTAATAAATACTGTCATTAATTATAGTATATAATTAATGCTAAAATAACACTGAGGCCTAACATAGCTTGGGATATTTAAAAAAAACACTTTTATCCTTCTTTTTGACACGATATCTTCATAACATATAATGTAATATATTATTCATATTTTTAGCAACAGAAAGTTACTTATTACAGGAAGTTAATAAAATATTACCTTTAATATTAGATTTTAGGTGGTTTATTAGTTATCAAGAGTGGTGCATGCTGTTTCTTTATATTCAGTAATAATGCTAAAATATCACTGAGGCCTAACATAGCTTGGGATATTAAAAAAAACACTTTTATTCTTCTTTTTGACACGATATATTCATAATATATTATGTAATATATTATTCATATTTTTAGCAACAGAAAGTTACTTATTACAGGAAGTTAATAAAATATTACCTTTAATATTAGATTTTAGGTGGTTTATTAGTTATCAAGAGTGGTGCATGCTGTTTCTTTATATTCAGTATTGATGTGTGATATGTTTTCAGTTTCAGATTTATTCCAGGATTACTTGGCCTCTCTACCCATAGTTCCACAAAGTCATAATGACATGGCAGATAATCTATTTTTCATTCCATGATATATATATATACAGTGGGGCAAAAAAGTATTTAGTCAGCCACCAATTGTGCAAGTTCTCCCACTTAAAAAGATGAGAGAGGCCTGTAATTTTCATCATAGGTATACCTCAACTATGAGAGACATGAAACATGAAAAAGATTGTTAAAATGCCCAACTTTACAGCAGAATTTTTTTTTACACAGCCTAGTACAAAAAGTGGTTTTGGTCTATATAGTTAATTTTGCCCTTTATGACAACTGTTAGGGGGTGAATTGTTTTTATAACTCATCCGTTTAAATGATATTAAGCCTTAAAGTTCTGCATAATTAAGGGCGTGGCCACTTGAGTGACAGAAGGATTGCCGCTGCTGTCACCGCCGTCGAGCTAGATGGGCATGGTTTCAACAACCAGGTCCTGCCTCTTTGCCCAATATTCGATTATCTGGGAGTGACGCGCGGTGACGCTCTGCCAAGACGGCGACGGCCTGCTCCGCCCACTTTGAGTTTCAAAAACAATCTTCAGAAACCTACGGGTGATGTCACTGACACTACATCCATGTTTTTATACAATCTATGGTTTCCACCCATGGCGCCGTCATTTTGATTTCGCAAGCTACAACGGTGTACCAGTTCTAATGCCATGGCGACTTTGAGCAAAACATGCTAACCATTCTGCCTTTGGCTACACAGACGCGCACAGAACACTATTTAGAGTCCCAGCCTCAGAGGAGACAAGAGAGAAGTGTAATTATTGATTTATTTACTGTATATTGCTGCTGCCACACAGATCTAAAATAAACATGCAATTTATTTCCCAGCTGTTTACCTTCACAGACATAACCGACTGTTTTTGTAACTCGTGTGTTTTTAACGTAAACTTGTGTGTGAATGAGAACTTAGTTTAGTACTCACATGCTGTGACAGCCACTTTCTGTCCGTGTGCTTCGATGTGTGCGCTCAGAAAACTGTATATCAGAAGTTTAAACTCATATGGTCTAAAACGCATGATTTCAGCACGATAAACATGATAATCAGAACCAAAACAGATGTTTTTTTAGTAGGTATGAGCTGTAATGGCGCAGCTCTATTCTGGAAAAGGGGGCGAGCAGCAGCTCATTTGCATATAAAGAGACGCCTGAAAAACAGCGTGTTTCTGCTTCCACTCAAAATAGGCATTTTCTAAATTATATAATAAATGATCTGTGGAGTATTTTGAGCTGAAACTTCACAGACACATTCTGGGGACACCAGAGACGTATATTACATATTGTAAAAAGGGACATAATATGTATCCTTTAATGAGAGTGAAATACAAAAGATTATGCTGGACACTGTCAAAAGCTTTAGAGAAATCAATAAATATACAATACATCCTTCCTGTGTCATATGTGTGATATGTAATATTCTCTATATTTTAAATTTAAATTTTGTATGTATATGTAATTTAAAGGCATCTGCATACATTTAAATGAACTCACTTTTATTTTACTCCAATATTACTTATTAAAGCATAAAATTTATTTAAATTGAGTTAACACCCCTGAATTTATACTATAGCCTAGTTTAAACAACTGTTCATAAAGAACTTGAAAACTGACCTAGCGGTCAGTGTATCATTTGTTCTCATTGTGTCATTCTGTCCGAAGCGCATTCGTTTAGTGACTTTGACAGCATGTGTTTGTTGACAGGATAAAGTGGCTAACACATGGTGCAGCTTGAATGTGCTGATAAATATCAAGACCCTGCTGTCCAGAGAGACTCAGCTGTTCCTCAGGTAATCCTTCACCATCCATTTACCCACCACCCTTTCTCCTTTTCGTTTGTCTCTTTATGTATCTCCTCCTCAAAATCTTTCTCAGTGTATTCCATCTTACCATGTTTGTGAAAAACATCTCATTATAACAGAGGGCACAGTGGGATTATGGATAGTTAATGATATCGGAGAGATTTTGAGATACTGATATGTGGACACTAATCTGCAGGTGCAAGGGTTTGGTCAAGATTATTTATTTCACTATTCACTTCATAATGTTTTGTGTCTTTGTCTAGTCTTATTTTTGCAGGGTCCGTAATTAATTTTCTCAGTGGTCTGTTTTAAGGGTGCACTCAATCATGATTTCCTCATAAAAAGTTTTACAAATTAAGAAACAAATAAGATTTTTTAAATATGTTTAAAATCATGTATATTCATGTGAGATGAAGTCTGAAGTTATATAAGCAGCCTACTAAAACCTGTTTTATTTCAAACAGAGCTGGTCCCCTGTAAATAATGCATTTCTAGTAATTGTAAATATTGGCGTGATGCTACATCCACACCTCTAGGTGTCAGTATATGTACAAGACCACTGCATCGGTCAGCTCGGAGTTCACCTTTTCATGTAGTTTTATAAGCAAATGGATATGACTTTTAAAAGACAAGAAAATTATCTTAGGTTCAGTGTGAAAATGTCTTGTTTACAAACTATGTTTCAAAACCAAACACAGGTGAGAAGTGATACAGGAACAATACAGGATACAACTTAAGATCACGTGTGAGATAAGATCTCTTGTTCAAGACTGGATTATTTCTTCCTGTTAAAAACTGTAGCCCGCAAGAAGCTTATGATACAAATTGTCTGTGCGCTCATTTGCAGTGAGAAGCACTGGCTGTATTTCATTGGCTGTAGGTTGTCGCCGATGTAATTTCCAATCAAAACACATTTCATACTGCAGGAGTCGCAGACAGGTCCAGATATTTAGCATGCTAAATATTTCACCGGCATCTGTGACGAATTGCACTTGCACTCGATCTCAGATCGAGTCTTTGATAATACATATTACATGATTGTCATTCATCGATTTGCATCCAATTTCGGCCAATTGGCGAATGAAAATCACGGGAAAAGTCGAGCAGTATGTACCTGGCATTAGCGACACCACACATGCTGCTGAGAACTCTATGCACTGCACATATTCAATTCAATAAAAACGCATAACAAAAATGACAGTGATGAGAAAACAGCCATTAAGAAAGCATCTGATCATAACGATGTTCGATATGTTTGCAAGAGCTCTGCAATTCGGCAGTCCAGTCATGTCACGTATTTAACACTTTATACACAGTAAATTGCTTTAAAGCAAGCAGCTTTACAGTATTAAATATTTAAAAAACAATGTCAGTGTCACTTTCGATTATAATTACATCTTCACTTTCTATTAAAAAGCAGCTCTCCGGTTTGTTCATGTTTTTACTCACGTCTGACCTTGATGGACTGAACAGAAGAAGGCGGAGCCCGAGAGCTTACCTACCTATTACGTATTCGCCATGGACCAATAGTAGTTTAAGAAGGTGTTTACCAGCCAGAGCAAAGTTTTCTGGAAAGTTCACTTTGGCAAGCTGTTTTCAACTCCTGAAATTCAAACAAACTTTGCTTTGTCCTGATTTTGTTTAAAGTCTTTCGTGGCCTATATGCTTTTCCAGTAGTTTATCTCACCTACATTTGCATCTGTCATGATGGACCAGATTCCTGTCCCACTAGTGTCATTGATCTCTAATAGGGTCATTTTCCTCCAAGAGAATGATGACTGAGGGGTTCAAGTAATTCTGTGAGTGCTCAGCAGGCCATCCCCGAATCTCATGCATTTCCTGCATGCTGGGATCTTTCTTGTTGACTGTGAGGATGTATAAAAAGATCAGGCAGCCGCATCCTCTAGTTTCATGGGATAGATTACGGGCTTTGGCAACAGGGCCTCTTGATCATATTTCTCTGCTCCATTTGTGTGAATAGTTAATCTTTTATTAAAGGGATTGTTCACCCAGAAATGAAAATTCTGTCATTAATTACTCACCCTCATGTCGTTCCAAACCCGCAAGACCTTCATTCATCTTCGGAACACAAATTAGGATATTTTTTGATGAAATCCAAGAGCTTTCTGACCCTGCATAGACAGCAACGGAACTACCACGATCAATGCCCAGAAACGTAGTAAGGACATCGTTAAAATAGTCCATGTGACATTAGTGGTTCAACCGTAATTTTATGAAGCTATAAGAATACTTTTTGTGCGCAAAGAAAACAAAAATAACAACTTTATTCAACATTTCTTCTCTTCCGTGTCAGTCGCTCTGCGTCATGGTACTCGTGATTGGTGGCGGATGAGAAGAATTGAGTAATTAAAGTCATTATGTTTGTTTTCTCGTAGCTTCATAAAAAATTGACTATTTTAATTAGGTCCTTACTACCCTTTGGAACGATATGAGGGTAATTAATGACAGAATTTTCATTTTTGGGTAAAACTATCCCTTTAATGTATGGATATAATCAATTAAATCATTATTTCTTTTTTCTTTAAGTTTTGCTCTTACTCTGTTGTTCATCCTGCCTTCATCTTTAAAATTGTTGTCCAAACCCAATCTATGGCAGTTTAAGCTCACCTTGGTAAGTGGTGTCATGTTTATGTGTTTTTATCTTTGACAGTTCAGTGGCTTGTATTTTTGACCACTGACTCTCCTGATCTGCTTGTATTATAGGTAAACTCCTCCCTGGCTTTTTTCCTCTTCTCCTTCCAAGTCCATGAGAAGTCTATCCTTCTAGCAGCCTTGTAACCAGCAGAATATAATTCATACTACTTGATCCAATTGCTTTAAACAGTACTTTGTCTCAATTCACTGACATTGATGTAGACAAAATTTATGACATTGACACAGTCTAAATAACAGTATCATGTTTAAGATGAAGTGTTCAGTTTCATAACTTTGCACTGCATTTTTTGGCTCAACAAGTGGTATGAGTTATAGCTGGAATATTTTTCCTAAGAAGGGGTGGTAGGAAGATTAAGGAAACATGCTTGAAAATTATTATTTAGCAATTACTAGAAACTACTTAAGATATACTGATATTCTTAACTGATATTTTTACAGATTTTTATGTTTTTCAACTTTAGCGTTGGGTCTATCTTATAAACGATGTAGTTATAATTGTCAAAATGCAGAAATAAAACAATAATTAAATAATGTATATCAGTTATCAAACACATAATCATAAAAATAGCCTATGATAAAAAGGCAATATTGGTTTAGTAATTGTTTAGTGCAGTATTTTTCCATATTCTGCATGTTTATTCTTGCAAGTCATAAATCTAATATATTTTGATTTACAACATATGCACATACGCAAAGAATCAGCTGCAAGCAACAGATTTTAATTGTTGTGCTATATCTTGCATCTGTAGGTCAATCAGTAAGGCATGTCTCTGGATTAAGGGTCTCTATTGAGTGTTAAAAATGAGCTGACAGAGGAAGTGTAGTGACTGGATCACTGAGAAGAGATGATACTGATACCTAGTCCTTGCACTCATACCTAGCATTGGTATCATACATATCTGTAATGTAGTAAATATAGTCTGTAATGTAGTAAATATAGTCTTAAAAGTCAAATATATGTTTTACAGGCCAGTTTGCCTTGTCATCAACGAAATACCTCTGATTGCCATTTGGTTTCTACTAACGTCAACTTTCAGGTAAGATACCAAGCAGTATGTATTACTAAATTACAATCACAGTACTATAAATAAATTAATCCTTACGGTTAAGATAGAAACAAAATCAACAAATGACTATATAGTGAGAGGGAAAGTAGTATCCAATAGGGGAGTCCCAGCTGTCCACACTAATTGTTGTGTGCATAGTTTAGTGAAAGGATATCACTGGATTACATGACATAGCCCACATACCATTAAACTAAGACCCCTTTGTGTAAACAGAAACACAACCCACCATTCTCTGGAATCACACTGCCTGCTTCCACAAAACCTTTTTTTAATCCTGCATATTTATGTTTTTTAGCTGAAGACATGTTCTTTGTTATGGAAGATAATTGAATTATATTCTATGATAGAGTAATTGTTGCACTATTAGGGGAAATATCCACAAGAACATACAGAGACAACACATTGCCACAGTTTTATATGCTCCAAATGCACACCATTTATTAGCACACTTTCTACTCATTATGGCGAAATGTTGAGCCATCAAAATTCACAGCTAGTATTGTTTTTTTCTGCATCATGACCAGTTCTGCTAACACAAAAATTGTTTTATTTTGTCAACACTTTCTCAATAGCAGTATTATTCATGATATGGTTGGTGTGCAAATTATTGTTTTTCAGCCAAATGCCTATGGAAACAGCTACGCTAGTTAGCTAAAAGTTTACTTCCATGTCTAATATACTTATGCGAGTTCAAGTGCATTACCTGTTGATCTCGTCAATGCAAGTTACAGAAAATGTTTTATGAGCAATAGTGAAGACTTGCCAGAAAAAATGGGCATCATTGTGATAATTAAACCAATTTAATTAAAACATACTGTTAATGAACATATGTTAAGAAAAAAATACATTGTATCACAATACTTGTTATTACTTATTGTTAGTACATTTTATGTAATAATGTTATTGTTTCTGGATATCTGTTTTTCACAGAACAGTTTTCACATTATTTAATATATAAAATATTTGGTTAAATTGAGCTTTTTTCCCCATCAACGAAAACATAATTTTATCTAAAATTATAAGCCATTTAAGTCAGAGTAAAACTGACTGAAAAGATTAAATCTGACATAATATTTATTAAATCAAAAGTTTTTTTTTCATACAGAGAGGGTCCCCTCATGGAGGCCACCATTTTGAAATGACAGGGCCAATAGAATACTGCATAATTTATCTTGATCACCCTGCTATTATTAGACACTTTCATTTGCAGAATAAATTAATCTTGGCTGACTAATGCATAATGCATTTCTACTAAGTGCAAACATTTGTGTGATTCTACATCCACGTCACTAGGTGTCCATACATTTTGAAATGGCAGGACCAGTTGAATGCTAGGAACTTTATCTTGGTCGCCCATTATCGCACTTTCAATCGCGAAGTAAATTTATCCTGGCTTACTACGAATAATGCTTTCCCTTCTGCTGCGTCCTCTACTGGACACTATGGGGACTGCTGCCAGCAGGACCAGTGTCTGAAGCATGTGTGACACAACTCCAATCCCATTGACCCACATAACCCGTGATGTCACAGGCAGGAAGCCCGGAAGTATAAGAGGGCGCCTGCCGAAGAACGTCAGCAACTTTTGTTGTCTTCAAGAGCCGTTTGTTTGACAGTGCATATTCAGCTCAGCTGCATCTTTTTCAGCATACAGATTACGCTATTGTTGAGGGTGTGGCGGAGCGTGGATACGCGAAGATGTCCCGTGTGGAGGAGACACTTGCAAGCTTTCTTTAAGGACTCCTGCTCTGTCCTCCAGACCACTTTGCGTCTGAATGGCAGGGTGTATGTGGTGGCAAGTCAAGCTAGTGGAGCCTTGCACACAATGGCTGTGTTACAAGCTTGCCAAGCTGTCTTGCTTAAAGACCTAGATGAGGACAAGGGTTTGCCGCATCACAGACTTGGCTCTTTGTGCCACTAAGCAGACTGCTGCTGCCATTGGGTGTGCGATGGCAGAAGTGGTGGCTACGGAGAGGCATTTGCAGTTAAATCTCGTGAGAAAGCCTTTCTTCTTGATGCTCTGCTGTCACTTTCCGGGCTTTTTTCGGCACCTCTGCTGAGGCGGTAGTCGAGAAGTTCAGAGGGGCGAAGATGCAGTCTACTGCCTTCAGGAAGCTTATTCCCCGCCGTACCAAGTCTTCCTCTAAAACTTCTGAGGGGGCTGGTCCATCTCAATCTGAGGATTATAGGCAGGATCAGAAGTAGTGTTGTCAAAAGACCCGGTACTTTGGTACCAAGTCGGTACTAAAAAAATTAAAACGTTACGGTACCAGGTTTTTTTAAGTACCGGTGGTACCGAGTACCCGGTCAACCCGGTTCTTGATGCACCATCCGAAAGGTGCGCAGATGCGCTCTCTTCAAAAAAGCACTGAGACGTGGCGACATCAAAAGTAGGAAACGCACCAAACTAACAAAACACTTTAAAGACAGACACCCAGATCAAATGAAAGAGTTCAAGCAGGTACGTTTCATTTTAATATTTAGATCTTGTGTTTCCCATTGATTTATTTGTGGCGGCCCATCACAATATCAAAACTGACTGCCACAAATAGATTTTGCCACAAAAGCCTTTGACTTCATTGAATGAGCACTGCATGTGTCAAAGTCAAAACCCAGAGCTGGTGTTTTTATATCACTGTATTTCTGAAGGAAACCGACTGTCTACAGAAAATGATGGATGTCATTTTCATTTCATCTTGCCTGTAATGCCTGAGCAGCGTTTGTCAGCTGAGCGCTGCTTTGTGTATAGCCATTACTGAGGAAACCTCTATCTCTTCCGCTCGACAAGCGCCTCCTGCTGGCAGAGAATGAATTTGCATATATATGCGCCACAAATAGAGTGCAAGTCTGTGGGAAACACCACTTCTGTTATGAATATTATTCAATATTTTAATTTGAATGTCGGATTGAAATGAACGCTGTTATTAGAGTAGTTAATCATTAGCATAAGTGTGGCTAACGCTAATATAATGAGCATTAGAAGACATGATGATATTTATTATTTTTACACACCAGAGGCTTTTAAATGAATTTTGAATCTAAAATATGCATGTTTGAGAATGTACAAATGGTTAACATTGTTTGTGTCATATCAGTCAGAAAAGCAGTTTTTTTTTTTTTGTTAGTTAGTTATTCTTGGCTGTTTTCAAAAGCCCTTTAAAATTTAAATATGTACACAGTTTGGATTAAATGAAAGTATAGTCAAATTTTTTAATTAGCATGTTTTTGTGTTTTGCTTTGGTACCGAAATTGGTACCGAGAACCGTGGATTTTCACTGGTATTGGTACCGAATACTGAAATTTTGGTAACGTGACAACACTAATCAGAAGAGAATGTGGCAACTCGCACCCCTCCTCCCTCGAGGAGTCGGGCGAGCACTAGGAAAGAGAGCGGATCTCAGGAAGATGTTGGATAAGAAGCGTTCCTATTCTTAAACCACGCTTTGCTCCTAACACTTCTTGATGCTTGAAGGGGAACATCTCGGGTTACGCATGTAACCATGGTTCCCTGAAAGGGAACGAGATTCTGTGTCCCCTCGCCATGCCAAGGGCTTGCCTGTTTTCACATGTTCTTCTGACAACCAAGTTGGTGACGTGTTCGGCAGGCGCCCTCTTATACTTCCGGGCCCCTGCCTGTGACGCCAAGGGCTACGTGGGCTAATGGGATTGGAGTTGTTTCACACGTGCCTCAGACACTGGTCCTGCTGGTGGTAGTCCCCATAGTGTCCACGTTCCCTCTCGGGGAACCATGGTTACATGCATAACCCAAGATGATTTGTAAGTGGAAAGATTTGCTTGATTTTACATTCACACCACTAGGTGTCAGTTTATCTATACGATGTAACAAGTATATGATGATTGCTACATCGGTCTGAACCCCCTGCTGTTTCCAAAAATTACAGAGGGATTAATAATCAATTATTGTACACATCTTGGATTCTGTTTGTTTTTAAGACTTATGTTTTTTATTTTCCACAGCATGCTCCCCCTTCTGGTGAAGGACGGTCTGCTGTTGCCTTATGTGGTGACCTCATTGGCGTTCCTCTTTCTGAGTTTGTATCTGCTCTCTGCTTTAGAGAGAAGTACAGAAGAAGAGCTCAGACTTGGCCTCTATCGCAAACTCACTCAGCACTGGCTGCCTAAACTCAACCTCAGCCGGATCATTAAATGGAAAGTAAGTTAACACTGACATCACAGCCTGTTACTCCACACCACTGATGTTAATGACATCGATGCTTATGAATAAGTCAGTTAAGCACACTGGCCCACCTGAACGGCCCATAACTTTCACATTAGCTTGACCCCATGCTCTTCCTACTGCTTTTGAGGACTGAACATTTCAACAGCTCCTTGCGTGAATGTTCGAGACCAGGAGGTGTGCTATTTGTGTAGCGTGAGTCATTAACACAGGTTTGCCTAGATATATTTATTTACACAAGAGACATAAATAAGGGGGCCCTACGATGAAGGTAGTGTTTCATTTGGGGGTCGCGTTGATCACACCAGCACTTCCACTGATCCCTCCACTCCATCTGTCGTAAATAGACATGTTAATGTTTATACCTTGACTCACCTTCCTGAAACAGGGTTGAAAATAAACATCAGGTTACAAGAATCTCTGTCGTGCCGAGCACTTGACTAGGACTAATGAACCTTTGTCTTGGTACTTCTTCTCTCTTGTAATAAGTGTTGTCACTTTGTCTTTTACAGTTCTGGTTTTCACTGGAGGCCATGGCAGCGTTGAGCTTTTTGAGTGTGTGGTTGGAGCCTCCGGCCAAGTTGCCTGATCTGTTTCCAGTGCTGGTCTCAGTCCTTTCCTTTCTCCACTTTCTGGGCTTCGTCATATATTTCAACCTGGTCCAGTTGCCGCAGAGGGAAAAAGAGTCTGAAGAAAACAAACTGAAATATGTCTTCAAAGACATTGGTTGTCAAAGGAAGAACTACAGCCAGTGTGATGGTGAAAGGAAAGGACAACCCCTTTGGTTAGAATAGAACAGGATGGGAATAGTTTGTAAAAATTCAATTTCTTCTTAATGAGGTTCAGGGACTTTGCTTGAGTTGAGAAGAGTGAATCCAATGAAAGGAGATACAGTTTTGCCAGACTTTCTCTCACTTGTTTGTCTTGGAAACAAATTCAGTTAGTGGGATATTGGTATTGTGTAAAATACCAAGCTGTAAGGCCATTATTTTTACATTTTTGATACATCATTAAATGGTTTTGTACCAAATGAAAGTGTCTCCAGTGTTTTCAAATGACCCCAACAACGATTGATTGATTGATTGAGTGATTGAAAAAGTGTTTTTGTTTTTTTTAAATCGCAATTTAAAAAGCTTTTTTTTAAGCTCCAGGTTTACGGTCTTTGTTCATAGGGCATACTTTGTTTGATTATATAGCAATATGACAAAAAGATTAATAGTAATTGTTATAATTATTTTAAAATAAATTATTAAACAAAATAAGAAATATTACTATATTAAATAATTAAATAACAGTTTTTGCGGCTTGAAAATCGCACTAAGCCTTTTTTTTATCATGCAGTTCACACCAAATAAACAAAATAATAAACTACTAATTAAATTTTTCTTTCAAGTAGTAAATGAAGAAAAATATTCATTAATACAGTGGAATAATCTTGGCAGTGACTGAAAACATGAGTCTAGTACTAAAGCTACGCATTAAAACGCTTCAACGAGCTGTAAAACAAAAATGATTGAAGGAGACATATCAGAACATAATGCTGTAAAGCTGAAATATCAAGGGGAAAAAGTACAAGCAATCTTTTTCACCCCTCTTTGTGCGAGTTAATGACGGCCATTAAAAAAAATCCATTACAACTATAAATGTTATCAGGTCACAAAGGGGCTACTGTGTTACAGCCTGAGCGAGGTCTGGAGCCACACACAGACACAGAATGAGAGGAGAATTAACAGGTTTTGGTTTGACTGTCTTACTTGATATACTCTAGAACAAACAGCAAGTCACAATACCAGAGTGCATGATACAATTTTAATAGATGGTGCTAATATTAACCGTACTTGCCGTACTTAGTTACACATCTTGAAACTCTTCTAAAGCTTAGCCCATAGCGAACAGACCAAATTGCTGAATTCTGAAATGTTGGTCTTGTTCTTCTCAACTGTAGCAATGCAAAGTGTGTGACAAACGTGTGTTTTGTTGGGTCAGCTTAAGCTTTTGTCCTTCAGACAGCCTCTAGAAGTGATAGAGAGAGAGTTACGTGATCCACCTTGAACAGCCGCCCATGTCGTACATCAAGAAACGATCCCTCAGCGGCTGCCAAAATAAAGAGACAGATCCACCATGAATACTCTTATGTTCTGTATAAATGTGCATGTGTAGTTTTCCAAAATCTGTTGTTGCTTTCTCAAATACATGTGTCTGTGTATGCATACATTTCTCCCCGTATCACCCCTAAAGGGACTGTGTGCCAGCAGTAAGAACACTATTTTCGCAGCGACGCAGCACACCGTGTATTGTAGAATCAACATTTTGTCAGATTCCCCATGAAAGGTGGGGGGAAACCTTTCAGAGAATGGATTCAATGTAAATGTGTCTGAGATGGGATGGCAAGGTGTTGGCAGCACTGTCTCATTTTGATTACGCTGGAAAGACTGACAGCCTCTTCAGACATCTCGCTGCTTTCAGTCTGACAGGATGTTCAGAGTACATCAAACATGCTGACAGAGAGCTGCGGCTCTGCCAAAAATGAGAACCATTCCATTTGCGACTGTGCACAGAATTACAGTGGGTATAGAAAAGAATCACTCCCCTTTAAAATAATCACATTTTGTTGCTTTGCAGCCTGAAATGAAGACGGGCACAGTTTTTGTTTTATCCTGCTGTATTTACTCAGTGCATCTTATAACATCCAAGTGAAAGATATAATATCAACATGTCAGAAAAAATAAAATAATAAATAAAAAAAACAGAATCACTGAGTTGGAAAAAGGATCACCCCTCTCCTAAAACTCACAAAGTGGCACACAAAGATATTTTACTTTTAGCTGTGGTCATTGTGATTAGCTCAGCATGAAAAGAGCTTTCCTGTTTCCAGTCCTTGGTAGTGCAACTGAAGCAAACAATCAACTATGGGTGGCAAGACACAAGATCAAAAGATCTTCGGGATAAAGTTGTGGACAGGCACAAGTCAGGAGATGGATACAAAAAAAAATTCAAAGGCTTTATCAATGCCTCAAATCTTAATCAATGCCTCAAATTTCAAAAGCTTTATTTGGTAAAACACAGACCCTTCCCTGGATCAGGACGTCCCTCCAAACTGGATGAAGAGCCAGGAGGAAACTGGACAGAGAGGCTACCAAGAGGCCTACAGCAACTCTTTTATGACAAAGAGTGGTCATTGTGTGCATGTGACAACAATATCACAAAGTCTCCACAAATGTGGCTTGTATGGGAGGGTTGCAAGAAAAAAAAGCCACTCCTCAAGAAAGGCTACATGCAGTCACGTCTGAGCTTTGCCAAAACGCACCTTAAAGATTCTGAGGCAGATGAGACTAAAATTATTTGGCCTCAACACCAAACAAAATGTCTGGTGGAAATCCAATACAGCTCACCATCCAAATAACAGCATTCTCCAGTAAAGCACAGAGGTGGTAATATACTGTTATGAGGGTGTTTCTCAGCAGGAGGGACTGGAGCACTTGTCAGGATAGAAGAAAATAGATGGGGCAAAATACAGTCAAATTCTTGAGGAAAATCTGCTGCCCTCTGCCAGAAAGTTGTCAATGGGAAGAAGGTTTACCTTCCAACAAGACAATGACCCAAAGCACACAGCAAAACTGGCCACACAGTGGTTGATGGAGAAAAAGGTGAATGTCCTTGCATGGCCTAGTCAGAGCCCAGACTTAAACCCCATTGAAAATCTGTGGTATGACTTGAAGACTGCTGTCCACAAACGGTCACCATCAAATGTAACTGAACTTGAGCAGTTCTGCAAAGAAGAGTGGGCAAATATTGCAAAGTCTAGATGTGCAAAATTAGTAGAGACAAATCCCAACAGACTAAAGGCTGTAATTAAAGCAAAAGGTGTTTCAACAAAATACTGACACAAGGGGGTGATACTTTTTCCAACTCAGTGATTCTGTTTTCTTACGTAGATGTTATAAGTTGCACTGGATAAATACAGCTGGATAAAACAAATAACGTGTTCATCTTCATTTCAGGCAGCAAAGCAACAAAATGTGATTATTTTAAAGGGGTCTTTTCTATACCCACTGTTCATGCAAACAAAAAAACACATTGGATGTAAAAGTCTGTGCCAGTCTCTGGCATATTACAATATACTATGTCTAGTCAATTAACATTTATAACTAAGATTTAATGGATAATTAAAATTATATTACAGTTCAAAAGTTTGGGGTCAGTAAGAATCACTTATGCTCAAAATACAGTAAAAATATGGTCATATTTTTTAAATATTCTTACAATTTAATTTTCTATTCTCATATATTTTAAAATGTAATTTATTCCTGTGATGGCAAAGCTGAATTTTCAGCATCATTACTCCAGTCTTCAGTGATCCTACGGAAATCATTCTAATATACTGATTTGGTGTTCAAGGAACATTTATTGTTATTATCAAAGATTAGAAGATTATACTTATTTTTCAGGATTCTTTGATGAATACAAATTTTCAAAAGAACAGCATTTATTTTAAATTGAAATATTTTGTAATACTATAAATGTCTTTACTGTCACTTTTGATAAATTGAATGTATCCTTGCTGTATAAAAAGTTTTAATTTCTTTCAAAAATGTTTTTACTAACCCCAGACTTTTGAACGAAGTGTATTAGTTTAAAATTAAAGCTAAAAAAAAATACAATAAAATTGATTTTTTTTTTTGTCCATGTTGTTGCTAAGGCATTCTAGAATGTTACTAGAGGTTTCTGGGTAGTTGCTAGGGTGTGCAGGGTCAAAACAACCCACCCTGCTGTATAAAAACACTATTTATTACTATAGAATTAAAGAATTAAATGAATCTCTGTAATGTGACAAGCTTTTAAATTTACAATGAGTACAATAACAACCCAGGTCGAGAGAAAAAAAACACACACACCTTAAGATTGCCTTCAGAAATTCATAAGAGCTCCCAGTCTGTTTCAACCCTGTGAAAGCAACATAGATATATTACCACACACTTGATCTAGCTTAAGAGACTAGATCATTTTGGTAAATCACTTATCAGGTAAATCCATGCATCAGTCATGGATTCTGTAGACTGCTGCAGCTGCCAGAGCTGCTAGATGATCTAAATGCAAATGATCTGAAATGCCTCTGAATGCATTGACTAAATGCATTTCATACTCCTGCAGGACATGTGGACATAACAGGCGTTCGTATCAGAGACCAAAACACATGCTGAGAGCTGCTCAACTCTACCCTCCCCACCCAAAGCCTTCTAACATACAGCAGCCCTTTAATTGTGCTAGTGTTTTCCATCAAATAGACTAAAATGTTCCCCAAACAGACCCCATTTATCCTTCAGCAGCCCAGGATTGATGTGATATTAGCAGGGTCTGTGACCCCATCCCGGCCAAGAACCAAAAACCTATTTGTTTTATTACATTTTAAGGAATTTTTAATACAGTCTATTAAGGCTGTCTTACAAATCTCCCACAGCTCGACCCCATCTGCAGCCTGATCAATTTTTATACTGCTGATCCGTCCCCTTCCTTCTCATTTTGTCATCTCAAATTTCATATTATATAGGATTTTCTTATGGAAAACTTGCCATAAAAATGCGTTACTACATCTGCTGATGTGCACGGGAGGCCGCGGCGTGAAGATAAAATTTGTTTCAGCGGTAAGCAGAACTGTTTAAATGTTATTTATTTTCATGCTCCAAAGAAAATATATTGTGAAGTGCAACATTGATTAAGAACATAACAATGTCTCCGTATGGGTGTAGAAGAGGTGGAGGCAGGGGCCGATTTATGAATCCTTTGCTCAGCTCCTTTAATTGAATTTTCCAAATCTCTTGCCACACAGAAATAATCAATACCCTCGGTCCAGGCGACAAACCTGCCTCAGAATTATTGCACACTCTCTTTTTCCATTTTGCGCTCATCAGCAACATGTAGCGTGAGGCTCGGGGCTTGGCAATGCCTGAATAAGCCAGCAAATTTACAGCCGGTCTGATTGTTTAGGAGGAATGGCCTCTATAGAATGCATGGGGAAAAACTTTTGTCAGTTTCGCCA